TTAAACCAATTAATGAGGCATGTATGACACAGAGATGGGGAGAGCCGGAGGGCGGTAATTTCACGCACCTGCTGCATCTGAATGTCCCTAAGAGATGGCCGTATAAGTACCAGAAGCAGACCAACGGGCCGTGCTTTTTTCTACATCAGATGCCTGTAAAGCTTGAATTGAGGCAAAGGAAATTGGCTTGGATGGCAAGAACGAACTCAAAAGGATTTTTCCTGAATTTCTATCAACAACATGATCTTCTGCCTGATTTTTGCTTCCATGTAACCAGTTCACCTATAGTTTGCTCTGTTCATCCTGAATTTCACAAAGTGAAGCTTTTCCCTTTAGAACTTTTGCAACACCCCATACCGGGCCCATAATTCGGGGTGTTGGCGGAGGAGGTGGAACATGTTTGGGTGCGTCATCAAGAGCACCACTCAGAAACATAGAAAGTCCAGCTTTCCTATTCTTCTTCTTGGTTGCTGTTTGTGAAGTACTCTTATCTTTTGCTCGGATCGAACTGTCCTTTCTCTGAACAAAGGAAGTAGACTCTTTCGAGGCTTGATCTGATGTACTTCCTTGGGACATATCAGTTTCTTCCTGTCAAACATGACAGACTTCAAAAAACACGAAAACTTGTTCAGATAATTTTAACTCTTTTTTCCTTTAAGAAATTTACAGGGAATAAAAGGAAAAACACTATTCAAGATGCAATAATACAAGACCCTAATCAAACTTCTCAGGATAAGATAAACCAAAAAGCAAACTCACAAAATACATGTCTGCTTATTTCCAAACTATGGTGTCAAGTGCTGATTCAAAGCATGAACTGGATCAGGATCAGGATCAGGAGTAAAGGATCTCAAAGAATCTTATCATACATCAGACTTACTAAAGTTGTAGAAATTTCCAGATATTGACAATCATAACGGGCACATGAAATCCTTAAGGGCCATAACGAAGCTGTCAAAGGTTCAGTTACGGATGGCTAGTTCTGATGAATATCAAGATCATTCAACAAAAAGAAAAGGCTTCAATTAATTTAAGCTTGAGAAATCCTAATACGTTATTGCAGACTTCCGTACCTCAATTCACAGCTCCACATTTTGGACCTACTGGTTGAACTCAAAACATAAAAAGTATTGCCTGGATTAATGATACAGAACAAATAAACTAAACAAAATTTTAATCAATACAGGATAGAAGAGAGCAAACAATTAAGCACTAGAACTACAACCAAGCAATCTTCCATTCAGAGTGTCCACTGAAAATGGAGGCATTCAAAAGAAGTATTTACATGCAGGAAGCATACTGGGTTCAAGAAATCTAACCTTATTTGTTAAAACTTGAGGGATTTCAATATCGGAAAAGTCCTTCACGTTGTTTGGTTCTATGTTACTAGTACTAAAACCCGAGACTGTCTCAACTTGAGCTACCCTTTGTTTGCTCTTCCTCCTCTGTTTTCTTGAAACCTCAGCCTTTTTGTTTCCTTTCACATCTATTGAAACCGAACAAGATCCTTTCGACTGAGATTTTCAACTGGAACACCAAGATCAGTGAGACAATTTTCAAGAGCTGGTTTTCTCTACAGCTTTGCTATTTGTTGGTCATCAAAATCATATCCACCCAACTGCTTCATTTCAAGCACCTCGATCTGCTGCAACTTCTTCCGCAAAGCTCGAACTTGTTCAGCAATTCCTTGATTAGGATCATCATTAGGTTGCAGAAAAGAGCCCAACCTCACTTTCACCATCCTCCTTGTCGCTATTGATGATAACCGAATAGGTAGCAGTAGGAGTGGGAAGCCTTCGGTTACTCCATGATTCTGATGATCTCAAGTCTAATGACTTCTCAAGATTAGCTAGAACATCTAGCGATGCACTTGCAAAAGCTTGCGATGAGACTGTTAAGATATAGTCCAGGTTACGAATGACAATGTCCTGCATTGAAGAAGTCAAAATGACTTCATAGTCAAAGTATATTTCATGACAAACACCGTGTTTAGACCCTTACCAGAAAGTCCTGATCTGCTCCCTCCCAACCACACCCCCCCCAAAAAAAAAAAAAAAAAAAAAAAGCCCTAAGCCTTACAGCATTCAAATTCTGGTATACTAATTATCGTAAGAATGTCCAAGGCAATATTACAAGTTAGGTACAAACAAAAGACTTCTGAAGAATATATGTAAAATTTCTCCCAATAATTGTTAAGACCTCCGAGGAGATTACCTCACAATGCTTGCTTAGATCGTCAGCTCCAAGTGACTCTGCAATTTCAAGTAGTTGAATTGCATTCCGTGGCTCCACTAGACAGTCTGCTGCCACTTTCTCACAAAGACTCTTTAAGCTCGGAATGGACTTCTTCTCAGAATCATTTTTATGTACGGATTAACTCATACTACTAGATTCTGGATCATTAAACAAAAATTCCTCGTCAAATTCTTCTACTTCATCATTGAATTCCAACTTTGGTGCCTGATCACTCTGGGGTATATTGGGAGGATAGACAGGGTGGTAGAGCGAAACGATAGTCAAAAGATGAGTTTCACCTACTGAAACTGAAGTAGTCCTCTTAACGCCGAGTAACCGGGTTGCGACAGGAGGTTTATCCATGCTTTCCTTGCCATCCCACATGTAAACATCACCTGTAGCAGTAGCAGCGGCAACCCAGTACTTACCAGCAGAAATGCTTATGATTATTTTTCCACACAGTGAATGTAGCTGTACAAATTCATCCAGAAGGAATACATAATAAGTTTCACTCAAGAGAAAGAAAAAATCAGCAGCAAAAATAGAATAGAACCTGTTGGCATCTAAGATCAGGATCTGAGGAAACCCAATAAAATAATGCTCCATCTTCAGTCATAGCCATGCTATGTAACATCCCAGCAGCAATTGCAACCACATGAAGCCGCTCCTTTCGATGAAATTTCATAGGGGTGCTTCCACTCTTCTTTAGATTTCTAGTAATGACAACTCGTTTAGGTGTAACAAGTCGATGACCACAAGTATATACCTGCCATACAAATATCACTGTTTTTAGCCCCATGTGCAAATAAATATACTCTCTGTCTCATCCTCCAATAGCAGGTGAAAACGTAACTTTAATTCATTCATTTCGAATCCAAATACATGGGATTTAGAAATAGTACAAGTAGAGATGAATCTAATTATCAATTATAGAAGGTGCTGGCATATATACCTCTCCATCAGCTCCCAATGCAACTGTGTGATATTTTGCTGTCGCAACACTCTTAAAGACCTTGCCTTTGAGGTACTCAACTATTCTCGGTGTGTAATTTGATGCTGAATTAGAGGTTCCATAACCAAGCTGACCCTCCCGGTTGCAGCCCCAAGTGAAAACTTCACCAGACTCGGAAACAACGGCAGTGTACTTATTCGCAGCAGCAACAGCAACTATTCTTGATTTAAGTGAACTTACTCTACGTGGTGTTGGTTGGGTATCCACGGATGTATAGCCCAACTGACCCTCTGCACAACACAAGATGAAGTCTACTTCAGCATTTCTTGTCAATTAGTACTTGATTTGTTTGAACAATCAATGCAATCAAGGAAATTTTCACATTAGGAAATTTTCCCATATGGTCAGCAAATCTTGCCAGTATAACCCTTGAGCTTTTACCTCTATGGATCCCCAAGTGAACACTTCCCCAGTCTCAGTAGCAACTACAGTGTGATGTTTAGCTGCAGTAATTGCTTTCACCCGACGAGTGCCCAAACCATGTCACTTGGCGGGGAGTGATAACTGCAGCTTGACCACTGGAAAATATAAAAGATAAATAGTTGGTTTATGATTATCATCCCAAAATGAAAATAATAAATAAAACTCTCCCAAACTTTAAAATAATTTCAGTTTGGTATTCCAATCTCAGAAAAAGACGACATAAATTTTAAACCAACAAAATTCCACATATAGAGTTCTCGTGGCTTATATTTTACTTTAGTGTTCCAGCTTGAATCAACAAAGCAGCTAAGGCTCTGTCTCATGCGAAAGTAAGAGAAGTCTTTTATCTATGGATGTCAAAGTCAGGGTGCCCGAGGCGGCCTTTCCTTCCAAAACCCCAGGTGTAGACTTTTCCATGAGCAGTAACAGCTACACTATGGAATTTAGCAGCAGAAATTAACTTGATTACAGAGCCATGAAATGAATCAAGTTTGCATGGTAACTTTTGTATATGGGCATTTCCAGTTCCAAGTTGATAGTTTACACCACTTCCCCAGCTAAAAACCTCGGTAGCTACTAAAAACACAAGGAAATTTGTTATACTTTAAAACGGGTAGATTTGATTTGCATAAAACAATCAAATGTTTCCCAATTAAGTAAAGACAGTAGGACGCACCTGAATCAAGCCCACTTTCGAAAACCTTCAACGCAGACCCAGAAAGGAGATCTATAGGTGTTCTACCAGTTGAATCTTCCAATGTAATAGAAGCATGAGACTGCAGGAGAACACTTGCTACAGAAAGATGACCAAAATGCAGAGCCCTGTGAAGACTACTCCATCCAGATTCTCCATCCTGAAATAAACATCCATAGTAAGATGATTGTATATAATGTTTAATACAATACCATAAACATTCCAAAGAAGGATACTCGATAGACATCTATTATGAACTTTAACACATTCAGATCAACTAAGAGATGAGAAGGATTACACACCCTAGCGTCAGGATCAGCACCAGCTGCTAGAAGCCTTTGAATAATGGGAATGTGGTTTCTCCAAGTTGCGATGTGAAGAGGAGTCAGGCCAAAAGTGTTCCTAGAATCAATGTTCCCACCAATTTTCTTAAATAGAGCCAATGCTGAATCTACATCAGGCAAGGACCCTTTTCGCACAGCAAGCCACAAATCTTTATGTGATTCACTAGATGAGACTTTTCGCATGGATTTTTGGAGGTTCAGCTTCTGTCTTTGAGGTGAAGTTAACATCTCCACTACTATATATGTCGAGAGAACAACCTATAAAAAGTTTTTTTTGTTTTGTCTTTTTTTTAGTTATTGGAAAAAAAATTAAAATTCAGAAGTTAGAACTGATGGCTTCTACTTATGTCTTTAGCCGGAGATCTAAACCCCTAAAAAGATATTAGAGCATGCCAAAAAAAAGGCACAGGTTTCTCAGTTCCAAGTAGCCTACCAAGACATCCACAAATTCTAGAATATATTTCCTTTCAAATGTAGTGTCGAGTCAATAACATATCATCCTGCCGTCATCTTCACCATCTTTACAATGAAAATATACCAATTTCAACAACCATTCATAACCCCCCATCAGCATTCATGAGGAAGAAAGATATCTCATATAAATAAAAAGTGCTGCATTTTGAAATTTCATGGATCAGCATAAAGTATCATGTAGAAGAAATATATAACAACCAAAGAAAGAATGAAAGAACAACATAAAAAAACAACTCAATCACTAGAATACAACCCAAAAAAGAAGCAAATTTTATGATATAAACATCAAAAGGAATTAAAACATCAAATGCAATGAGACAAAAACAACTTTGATTGCAAATAAAAAATGAAAATGCATTTGATCTTACAAGCTATTTGTAAATTAAAACTTAAATAGTGTGACAATGGATTTAAACTGATTAATTTCTGGGAAGCAGAACCAAAATGCAGAATTTAAAGTAGAAACAAATGAGAGTATCAAATTAATCATAGGAAAAAATCAATTTCCAGAACAAAAAATACATGAATTTAACCAAAACTGATAATAGTAAATCACACCAACAAATAAGAAAACAAAACATCCATTCAGATACAATAGCTTCCCAAAGTTCCCAGCTTCAGCAATGACAACTTAATAAAAAATAGAACAAAAAACACTATACAAACAATGAAAACAAAATATCCAATATTAAATTCTCAATAAATTCAACTAAAACAACACAGAAATGAAGGGGAAAATATACATTTTTTTGCTATTCCAAAACAAAGAAAACCAAATCTTTTCACATACCTTCAAGAGAAATTGTTTGAAATTCGAATAACGTAATTTTCAATGATAATATGAAGCAAAGATATCCTTTTTTTTTCTATTACAGAGAACCGAAGCTAAAGATTATACCCCAAAAGAACCAAAGGCAACAGAAGGGAAAGAAAGAACTGAAGACGAGACAAAGAGTATTCCGGGAACTTAAATAGCATATTGACGGTTTTGACCTTATGCATTTGACATAATGACAATATGAGAACTGGATTCAATTTAGGCTTTCTTTTTAGGGTAAACTGTTCGATTAGTCATCAAATATTACCGTAATTTTATTTTGGTTACCAAATGTTTTTAACGAAATTATCATTAATATTTTTGAACATCAGCCGTTAAAATATTAGAGTCGTTGGCTAAAAAAATTAATAGCTCTTTAGTTTTGTTAGGAGTGTCGATGATTGAATCCACGATTCTTTTTGGTGCATATATACCAATTAGATTATTATAAAGTGAAAATAGAAACCGATAATATAAAGGTTACAAAAATTCTTTGTTATTCATCTGTTGCATTAACGGGTAATGTTCTCGTTAATTCAATTAGAATGTTATCGAAACGATATTGAGAGATAATGATTGTGTTGCGTGCACATTTAGAGAGAGACATATTTAGTGCTTAGTATACTTGCAGCTGAGGGTGTTCATTTTTCGGTTTTAACCGAATTAATTGGTCGATTTGAATTAGTTCAGTTAAAATAGTCGGCCATGGAATTTTTTTGATCCGAGAACGGTTGGTTAATTTTTTCAATATTAGGTTAATGGTTAATTCAATTCGAAATCAGTGAACTAATCGAAAATATTAAATATTATATATGTTAAACACATATTTTAAGCTTAAGCCCATTAAAAGTTCAAACCTAATTATTTTTAACCACATAAGACTCGTTAAATTATCAATGCCTAACTAAAATTTAATCTAAAATAAAAAAAATACCTCTATTAAACCCAAATTAGTCTAACTAAAAATTGTTAAAATTTGGTTAATTTGGTCACCAACTAAATTAACAAAATTTTATTTGGTTCGATTATTATTTTCAAAAAAATCAAAAAGCAATTTGATTAACAATTAAAAAACTGATTAATGAAAATTCGATTTGGTCGATGATCGAATTAATCATTTCATTGAAGACATGTGGGGAACTTCCTTTTTCCTTAAATCATCAGTTGAGATAGATGCATTGATCTTTTAAGAAATTGATTCTAATAGTTAAATGTTTTATTTTGGTCAACCTTAACGGAAGGGAAAAAATGATATTGATAAAAATGATTTTTTTATTGAATCAAAATTGAATATTTCTTATTTTACATCCGAATCAAATTAAATCAATCTTATTAAACCGGATGAATCACATATTCCCGAGATAAAATCTAAGAGCAAGGGTGAAAGCAAAGACAAAGGGAAGTACCCTGACACAATGGGTGGGAATTTGTGGACACATCGATCGCATAGATTATATGTACAATTTCGAAGCACAACAAAAATAAGGACGGCTAACTTCTGCGAATTCTCCATGTCTTTATTTCTTCATCTACTTACAAATTAAATGGTCTTTGTGTTTTTATTTTGTATAGTAAGAAACGTATTTTTTTTGGTTAACAAACGAAATTAAGACTCTATTCTATGTTATTCTAACTACATCCCTCGGCTTTTAGCGTTCCTTCAATGGCAGCTGGTGCCGTTGTCATTGTGTAGCATCGGCTATCTTCGGGTTGGACCATCTTTGTTATGTCATCCGGCATCCGGTTTCCTTCGCTATGCACGTGTGTGGCCTCAATCTCCCATTCCTTGTGCAGCATCTTGTTGATATAATGCCCCAGCTTTAATATTAAATTTTCTCATAGTTATGAGTTTAAATATTTATACATCGAACATGGGTTTCATTCTTAAATGAGTAAATTTCAATAATTTTATTTAATTTTATATACAAATATGATATGAAAAAAAATATCATTATAAGATAAATTTAAATAAAATTATGTGTTAATAATTCAATAACAGACTTGATACATAATAATATCAAGGGTATACTACTCCAAATATCACTAACCTTTAGGCGCTGGCTAGAAAATGTCGTTGACGTTTTAATTTTGTCAATTTAAGCACTGACGTTTATATTTTACTCCAATTAAGCCACCCCGCCGTTAATCCGTTAACGGAACAATGATATGGCATGGACGGGCCGTGACGGTGATGACGTGGATGCATTACTAAAACGACGTCGTTTTGCTTGAAAAAATATTAAAATAATATGTAACCTGAGGGATTTGAACCCCAAACCCATGGATACTAAACATGATACTTAAACCATTGAGTTACCTTATATTTCTTTGTTAGTTTTCTATAAAAGTTTTTAACGATGCTTTAAAAAAACTGATGATATTGCACCGTATAAGATGTTGGAACTGAAATCTAGAACTTGTAAGAACCTAATATTGTCGATGTTGTCTGGGATATTGTTCCTCATCGAGAACTCGATGAGAGATACTATAAAAGTTTACGAGAATTGGCCGGATACGTTGTTATCGCTAGCGTCGAGAAAGTAAAGCTTTCTGAGTGAACCCAGATAGGAAACTCACTAGAAATGTAGTTTCGTTGGATTTAGAGTCTTTGCAAGCGTGTTAGGTTGTTAAAGCTTGAAGGAATTGGTCCATGGAGATGGTTGTTGTCAAGGTAGAGTTCTTGAAGGTGAGGGAGTGAGCCAAGAACGGCGAGTATTTCACCGGTGACTGAGTTCCCAGAGAGACCTAGTCGATCAAGGCGAGTTAAATTGGAGAATGAGTTAGGAACTAGAAGCAAAACCAGAGACGAGTGTATCACACATGAGGCCACAAGTGAAGTGGTCGGTGAAGATGTTACCGCATGGCTCAATGGAGAAATCCCAATAGCTCAAACAAGATCCGAAGCAATGGAATGAGGGTCCACACCATTTTTCATATCTTTGAGAACTTGTACATCTGATAGGTGTGTTATTGAATTTACTAAAATCAACAATATCGAGAATATGGTGATGAAAACAATAGAATGTAGATGGAGATAAAGGGTACTAGATATCGATGACAGGGGTTAAGCAATAATTTTATTTGGGGTTCAAGCATTGTTAGCTGAAGTTTTAAAATTTTAAAACTTTTATAGAAAACATAATAGAAATATATAATGTAGTTCAATGGTTAAGCATTAATTTTTTTTTTGAGGATTTTGGGGTTCAAATCCATCTAGTTGCATAATATTTCAATAATTTTTTCAAGCAAAACGACGTCGTTTTTGTAAGGCATCCACGTCATCACCGTCATGGCCCATCCATACCATGTCATCGTCCGTTAACGGATTAACGCGGGGTGGCTTAATTGGAGTAAAACATAAACGTTAGTGCTTAAATTGGCAAAATTGAAACGTCAGTGACATTTTCGAGCCAACGCCTAAAGGTTAGTGATATTTGGAGTAATTTACCCTAATATCAATTCGAACAAATATTTAATAATAATATACATATGGGTTGAATCAAACGAAGGCTCAAGAATCCGATGATTATTTTTGTGAGTTAGAAAGTAAGGGCAGACCCACCTTCAAAAAGAATAGAAAGTAAGCCCTGACCCATGTTTTGCATATTTTGTTTTGGCCCAAGTCGATTTTCCTTTTTTTTTAAATATAATAGTATCAGATGATTTTTTTAAAAAAATCTCAATATATAAAAATTATTCTTTTTTTACGTCATAAATTTTTAAATATTTTAATTTTATGATTTTATTTGCACATGTTATTTCATATATGGCATGAATATTTGGTAGATGAGTTGGTTAGGCTTGTAAAGATCAAGGCAAAGGCCAATGCAACTTTAAAAGGTAGTACAATAATACAATATGAGAGTTTACTTCAAATTTTAATGATGTCTTTGAGACATATTCCAAAAATTAAGACAACCTATAAAAAAAAGGACGCTAACATAATAGGTTTTAATTAAGGAGTAGAGGGATGAACACATAATTGTTTGCTGAAGAGAGTAAGCTTCTAAAATTTTCAAGGTGGTAAACTTTCAAATTTCCAAGAAAGACGAAAACAGAATTTAAAAATATATGAACAAATATTTAAAATATATAATAATTTTAAATTAAAGAAAAAGGCGATTATCCCCTCCACCCTCAGTACATTCCTCGGCATTAGCTATGTTCACTTGAAAAAAGCAAGTCAACATTATGCCTAAACATCTTTAATTTTATTAAAAACTATCCAGTCAGTTAAATACTACATAATAATATATAAATGCTATTATTGACTTTACGAAGAGCTTTTAGAAAAAGGTTAGGTACAGCTTAAAGTTATACTTCAAATAGTTGCATTCATCCAATTTGCTACCAGTTTTAACCCATTTTCTCTTTTTTTTTATTTTTTTTATGTTATCTATATTCGATTAATTAAATAAAATAAAAATAAAATAATAACCGAAATCAAATATTTAAATGTTGATCTTCCGAAAATTTAATGTGTATACTATTAATATATTAAGAAAATTATAAAAAATAATCATCACATGTTATTAAAAATAATTATTATCATAAAAGTAAAACAACGAAAAATATATCCACAATTACAATTTAAATCCCATTTAAAAAGTTGGTTGGAAAATGACCATTTTCATACTCACAATCTACTTGGAAATCCATTACTTCATTGCTACCAAACAAAACTATCACATGGCAACGCATCGAAGTACAGCCTGTTCTACATCATCACTTTCTTCTCCCTCCCCCAAAAGATGCACAAAAAGAAGAGGAAGCTTCTTGTATCTTTCTCCATCATGCGTTTCCTAAATAAACCACCAATATTTGCATTATAATTTAATTGCATTACTATACCTATTTATTGTAATTGAGAATATATTTAATATTACCGCAATAAACTATTGGATGACAAATTTTTTTAAAATATTTAATCTATCTGAATTAGGGGAAAATTAATCAAAAGATCCCTTGCTTGGAGTGCAAGTCTTGTATATGCAACTTTATATAGTTTATGCGGCTGGAAAAAAAATACTACATCACATAATCTCCACTTTCATGGCTACCAAAATCCTAGCATCTCCAAGCCATAGTTTTGAGAACGAATGCAAGGAAATTCACGAATCACGGGGAAGATCGAACCAGTTGATCCGAGCTTTGGCCGGTCGAACTCAGCTTGAATGCAGGCGAATCAGAGAGACTTACAAGGAAATGTACGGGGAAGATTTGATAACTCTGCTGGCAAAAACTAGCCATCGTAGTGTATCGCCCAAAACTTGCGCAGCTTTGTCCCTTTGGATGCTCGATCCTTATGAACGTGACGCCATTGTCGCTCGCGAAGCTCTTCTGCAAGATGATACTAATTATACGGCTCTGGTTGAAATTTTTGTGGGACGAAAATCAAGTCATATTGCACTTATTAAACAAGCTTATCACTCCAAGTACAAAACTAATATGGATCAAGATATCATCAATATTGAGCCTCCCCACCCTTACCAGAAGGTAAATTTTTCCGAGTTTTTTCTGTGTCCGACACACATCCACTCGGAGAAAACCGGCTGAAATATGGAAAAAAAAATTGATACCAGCTATTCATCTATGTTCTTATTGGCAGATTCTGGTTGCATTATCCACATCGCACAAGGCACACCAAGCAGATGTTAGCCAACATACAGCGAAATGCGATGCGAGGAGGCTTTACGAGACAGGGGAAGGAAGCCCTGGTGCCATTGATGAAGGTCTCGTGCTTGAGATTTTCACTAAAAGAAGCATTCCACATCTTAAGCTGACATTATCTTTCTATAAACATATCTATGGGCATGATTACACAAAGGTAAAATTTGTTCCGTTTTTGTAATATTCTTAATCTGTTCTGATAGTGAAGAAAAAACATATTGATTCCTTTGTTTTTCTCAGTCAATCACTGATGGCAGTTCTGGGGAGTTTAAGGATGCATTAAAGATGGTTGTAAAATGTATTTGCAACCCAACTAGCTATTATGCAAAGGTAATAAAACCGCAGTAAGTCCATTGATACATATCCGTACCAAATATTCACACTCGAATTCGAGTGACATAATATTTTCTGCTTGACTGGTTTCAGGTTTTATTCGCTAGCATCAAAGGGATGACAGCTGATAGAGGAGCCGTAACACGAGTGATGGTGAGCAGATCCGAAACGGAAATGGATGAAATTCAAAAGGTTTTCAAGGCAAAATTCGGAGTTGAACCGAGAGAAGCCATATGTGAAAGCATTCCCTCTGGGGATTACAGAGACTTCCTTCTTGCTTTAGCTAATAAAACAGTCGTCTCCTTTTAGCTCTGGTATAAACTCGTATGTCGTAGTTATCCGGACCCTTCATTTTCTTTAAAGCAGATAAAAAAATATCGACACTCGTATCAAATATAAACTTGTATGTAACACTCACGTCCAAGTCCGGATAACATAACTTCGAATAGATAATATAGCATTATAGCTTTACTGTATCATGTAATAAAAGCATTCCCAGAGAATTCCAGCCAGTTGTTTAAAGCAAAATCTCAAAAATTGAAGTGTAGAAAAAGCTAAAGCATGTTTGTCAGAAATCAACTTTAAAGTCCTTTTGCATTTTCTGTGGTGCAACTTTACTGCATATGATGATCTTTTGGTTTCGTTGCCTGTTGAAAGAAAGCTAAAATTAATATAATGTTGTGAAGAATTTGGAGTATCTATCAACAATTATTGAATCCTGGAAACAAGTTCAATTGTGAAATCAAAATGACTTAACATAATACTGATAATCAATATATATTATGGTGTTTATATTGCTTAATCATAGCATGCACATCAAAACTATGACAACGCATGGAGTATATTGAGCCTTGGATTAAAGAATTCTGGCAATAATAAATTAGGCAAGTAGATTGAAAACGTACCATAATTTTCAGACCCAAAAACATCATCATTAGCATGAAAGGTTCCTTAAAAGTAAAATTTTAACGGCTAATTGCTTAGAATTTTTTATTAATTGAAGGGCCCGACATAGTCATTCTCATTCCATTTTGCACTTATTACACCCGCAAGTGTCATTTCAGTTGACAAAATTAGTTTAATTATCCCCACGGAAACTTTATTTGGATTTATAGTACAGTTCAAAACTGAATATTTTTAATATTTCTTATGAAATTTGTCATTTTACATGACTAGTTCTATTAAATATATTAAAAATTATTTATAAATTAAAATAATATTTTATATTTTTGTTAATTTGAAGAAAGGAGATTACGAGTTCCTTTAAGCAAAACACATGATTTCAGGACATCTTTTTCTTAAATAACAAGAAAACTATAGAAGTTAACTATAAACATGAAAATTCAAGGTTTTGTTAAAGAAAAATTGAAGTGTTTATAAAAGCACTTATACCTTTTCCGAATGATTGTATATATGTAAAAGCTCTTCCATCGCTGATCTTAACCCCCTGACAACATTAATTCCTCCATATTGCCATTATACCTTGGTCAAGTAATACACAAAACTTATTTTCAAACTTCAAAAACTCTACATAAAATTCATCATCTCTGGGTTACGAATTTTTTTATTTTTTAATTAATAAAAATATAATTATTATCGTAATAAAAAATAGATTTTATTATATTTAATAAAACTTGTTACGTGAAAATGACAAATTTCATTAAAAATATTAAAATGTTATTATTTTTGTTAAATTAACAGTTATTATAACATTCGACGATTAAAAATATATATAATATATAATTTTTGAAAAAATGATTGAGTAATCAAAATAATAATGTAGAAATAAATAGACAATTTACTTTTAAAAAACTCAAAATGTGCCAAGTTATTTTATAACCTTTACATTAAAAGTAAAAAAAATGTTGGAAAAACGCTAATTGAAGTTATGAAATGTGAGGAATATAAAAGGAATAAAGATGAAACCTAATTGAAAACAAAAAGAAACCCAAAACTTCCAAAAGCAATGAAGGAATCATTATTGGGAAAACAAGAGGAAACCCTTATATCAGCCTTCTCAAAGGTTTCTTATTTCATACAATATAAGAGGAAAATTACACATACAATATTTCAATCTTATTATCCTCTAACTAAGCCCAGAAGAGAACTTTAAAAAAGGGAAGCAAAAAAAAAATTGCAGGCTCCCATGGAAACCTCTTATGAAGGTTTCGAGCCTTCTGCAAATGGAAAAGAGAGGAAAATAGTGATACACTTGAGGTCCATCTTCCCGGTAGTAATCTATATACTGTCTATCATGTTATATCTTTAAATAAGCAATTTAACCTTTCATTTTATTTTTTAAATAGAAACATTGCAGGATTTCAAAGGCAGCAATTGAGAGTTCGAGTGAGTGTTCATTGTTAATAGTTTTTAATCAAATCTTACTTGAATACAAAAGTTTAAATTAAAATTAACTTTTTTAATAATTTAAACTCGATTCAATTATATCTTAATCTTCTAATAAAAAAACACTTTTTTCTTTATTATTCCCAAATTTATAAGTAAAGATCATTAATAAAGTTCAACCAAGTGTAGAATTACTTGAATATTGGGTGCAACTTCAACAACATGGGTTAAATCAAAGTTGATGCCCTTAATGTGTGGATACTTTGAAACAATAAGATTAAGATTTGTGCCCAATGCCCCTCCCACGTTGATCTATTGAGTTAAGCCTTCAAATTGTTAAGATACCTATCAGTACTCTCATGATAGAAAATAGAGACGAGAGAGAAAGATAAGAAAACTTCTTTAACAATCATTTTATTCAAAGCAATCTGTCAATAAGAGAAGAAACTAACTCTTTATATAAGAGTAAGTCAGAGAGAGAGAGACGATTAGAAACCCCCCCTAATAAACTCATGCAAAACCCATGACCAAGAAAACACGTCATCCTCACACTCACACACTCAACAGTAAAAGACTCAGCCTAGTCTATACCCTTGTATTGGATAACTTTGTATCTTTTGCAAGCACCTGGAAGAAGCCTGCCCCAACTACCCTCTCAAATGGTGATAACCCACCTTCCAACGTGCATCCTTCAAAGAGTTACTACACAAAATTTATGAGATTTATTACTTCCAATTAAATATTGGCAAACTACATTAATAGTTATTGAATTTTGATCATATTTTTGATTTGGTCAATGAACTATATCATTCTATTAGTTTAGATTTTCTCAAAATCTCTCTTAAATCACAAATAATAATAAAAAATTAATCAAATTATTTGGAGGTTTAATAAAAAAAATTAAGATACTTAATGATATTTAAAAAAAAAGTTAAAACTTTGGGAAGCTTAGTAAAAATAACATTTTTAAAGAAATTTAATTAAAAATATTCAAAAAAATAAATAAAACTTCGTGAGAATTTCTAAAAAAGTATAAAAATTTCTAGAAATTATAAAAAGTTTCTAAAAAATATAAAAAGTTTGATTAAAATTCTAAAAATATCGAAGGAAGTAATACAAATTTTCCAATATTTTAGGGATGTCAATTTTTTTACCCTTGTTTTCTTCTCACCTCTAAATAGAATGTTAAAATTTTAATTATTTGACACTAAACACTTGTACCTTTGATATCATTAGTGCTCGAATTTGAAACCTAAAAAAATACTAATAATTCTTCTACCATTGGTCGCTTGGTAATTTTAAATTTACTTGAAGAGACAAGAGAGAGAGAAAAACGAAAGTTTTAATGTCAATTTTATCAGAAACAACTACCAGTGTTGAGTGGTATCGAAGGGAGGTAAGGATTATATGTTCTCATTAAATGATATAGATTCGAACAGTATTATCTGTAAGGTGTGCTCGAGTTTATCTAGGACAAAAATTGAAAACTGAACAAGGACTTAATCCAGCAGAAAACAAACTCAGAGGGACCCCAACAATAATTGACCTAAACTAACAACCCAACCATTCATCATTTATTATCATATGTTTTACGGGAAAAGTATGTATTGGACTCTTTATCCAAGTATAACTTTTGGACTAATGGATGTTATCAAAATTTGGACTGAAGTTGTTGGATTATTCAACTCATGCATTTGGACTTCTACAACTCACTTTAACTATTTAATTAACAATTCATTTAAATGAAAAGGAAAAAAAAAACCAATTAATAAGAAGTTTTTAAAATTAGTTATTTGGACTTCTCATATATGGTGTTTTTGTTAATTGGAAACAAATACTGTGATTTTCCATTTTTTTTCTTGAAAGTATTTATCATTTATATCCGACAAATATATGAAAAAACGAATGAAATTCTGTAATTATATGAAAAAAACCATAGGCAGGACCGACATTTTCATTTAGCTAAAACATACACTCGGAAATTTTGCGCCTTTCAAAGTAATTAAAGGCAGTTTACATATTACCAAAAATATTCAGAGCAAAAATAAAAAAAGGAAAATCAATTGGCCTCAAGAAAGAGTTATTCAAATGATAAAAACATAATTTTCTTTCATTTTTTCCTCCTCAGATAACACTCTCTCACTTGGCACTAGCAAGTTGGGTGCGGAGCAGCTTGGCAGCAGCAATCATGTTGCTTAGGGCCGGTTTCACCTCAGCATACTTGTGAGTTTTGTGCCTACAGTCGGGGTTAACCCACAAGATGTTGGTCTAAAGCATGGCAAGCATCTTGTTAATTCGGTCGGCAATCTCTTCGGTTGATGGTATTCTAGAAGAGTGGATGTCATACACTCCGGGACCGATTCCAGCACCGTACTTCACTCCTTCATGGAATACTGAAAGGAGCTTCTCGTCTGAACGAGAGTTCTCGATGGTAATGACATCGGCATCCATATCGATAATTGAGAGGATAATATCATTAAAGTTGGAGTAGCACATGTGAGTGTGGATCTGTTAGACAAATACAATACAGATAAGAGAGTTCATGGATAGAAGGGTTTTCTTGAGACTTAAAGAGTGATGTAATATACGAACCTGGGTAGTGTCCTGGACACCACAGTTGGTGATCCTGAAGGAGTGGACAACCCATTTCAAGTAGAACGCATGCTCGGACTTCCTAAGTGGCAAACCCTCTCTCAAAGCAGCCTCGTCAATTTGGATAACATTAATACCGGCCTTCTCGAGATCTTCCACTTCGTCCTTGATGGCCAAGGCTATCTGGTAGCAAGTCTCGAATGTGGATAATGTACAAACCTTAGAATGTAAAAGATAATTCATAGGACAAAACAAATATTGCTGGTGGAAACGTTAAATTTCTAATCATATTTTTCAGTTTTAATGTGCATACCGTGGTTGATCATTTATGACAAAGGACCAGTTGAGGATGGTAACAGGGCCGGTAAGCATTCCCTTCATTGGCGGAGCAGTTATGTCTTGGGCCGTAGATGACCAGAAAACAGTCATTGGTTTGGGGCAGCTAATATCACCATAGATGATCGGTGGCTTCACACATCAAGATCCATAAGATTGCACCCATCCATTAACAGTGAAAGAAAAACCGAACAACTGCTCACCAAAGTACTCGACCATATCGTTTCTCTGCACGGATTTAAGCAATAGTTGATTATATTCTGCTAAGA